ATTTATATATTTCATATTTTATTAATTTTATTCAAACTATTTATTAATATTATTATTCATTCATATATTTTCCTTCAGCATAGTCTCTATTTTAGAGGCCGCCACAGCAAAATGAACAACCAACTATTTCGCCATATGTTTAACACAGCGGATGCCCTTCCAGCTGCAACCCAGTATTGGAAAACACCCATACACACTCATTCACACACACACACACTCGTACACAACAGACAATTTAGTTCATCCAGTTTACTTATAGAGCATTCTTTGGACTGTTCCTCCGGAGTACCCGGAGACAACCCATATGAACGGGGAAAACATGCAAACTTTACATAGAAATACAAACTGGCCCAGCCAGGACTCAAACCAGCAACCTTTTTGCGGTGAGGCGAGCACTGAGCCACCGTGCTGCCTATTAATATTATTAACATTTTATAAATCAATCAACTTTATTTATATAGTACCTTTCTACATCAGGTATCCCAAGGTGCTGTATGCTTCCACCCCAGCTGCCCCTCCCCCCCAACCATTTCTCAGACCCCTAGCACTCTCTTGTCACCCCAATCAGTAAACTACCTGGACCCTGTTTGAAATATTATATATTACATATGCTATATTACATATGATTACACATGCCAAACGTAGGCCTCTTTCCTCTGTAAAACACAATATATATATATATATTTTTTTTTTTTTGCGCTGTTGACTTTCACTGCATGGATTAAAACGGTTCACAATGACATGCTGCTACTGAGTAAATGTGAATTGTGAGCCCAAACATGTTTCCTCACAGAGAGGATGCTCTGTCCATGCTTTGACTAATCTATGGGAATGTGACTAATCTGATTTGACCAGCCTGCTCGCCCTCTCTTACAGCCACCTGATCGTATCTCCTCCACGGTAAACACCAAACCCCATTCTCATTCTGTCCTTGCGCCATTCCTGAAACACAAACGCCTCAACTGAGTCACCCCCAGATTCTGTGAAATCAAGTCTGCAAGCTTTTCTTCAGCTTTGGCTGTTTTTTGTTCCCCCGTTTCCATTCTTGCCAGCCAACTGTGTCATGACATGTCAAGAATCGGCAAATAACAATTACTTTTGTTTGTTTGTTCCACAGCAGATGGAGGAAGGAGCAACATGACCTCGTTCACATTTCTCATCCACATTAATACTATACGACGAATGCACTTCATCTCGGATTTATTACGCAGTAAATGATAGCTCACCTGTTTGCTACATCTAGCTCTTTTTTCCCCCTTTCCTTCGCAAGAAGCATCGTATCAAAATAATCTAAGCTCTTCTCATTGTCATAACCATTTCCGTTGAGGAATAGGGGGATTCGCATGGTTACTTTAATTGAGAGCACAGCAACTGCCAGAGGGCTGAGAGTCTGCGGTCCCGTTACAGATGATCATGGTTCCCCTCCACACACACACTGGCAGCAATCATTGCATTATCCTCCCCGTGGCCATGACAATGAGCACAGAATTTACCATAAAGAGAAGGGGGAGGGAGCGAAAAAGTTTCTCTCTTTATTTCTGAAAGACTATAGGCATGCAATTTCAATTGGCGAGAAGAAAATAAGATAAAAGCCACCGTCACCTCCAGTTAAATGTAAAAGCAAAGGTGAAGGTAAACTGGCAGATTGCATACATTACACGCTTTGACTCATGGAAAGTCACAATTTCAATTGCAATGTCTGCAATTTCAAGGAAAATATCTAAACAAGGCAAGCTTCAGGAAAAGAGAAAATGGATTGTTCACCCAAATGTGAGATTTTAACTCTAAAGTGGTCTCAAACCTTTTCACAAAAGAAGATATTTTGAAAATATTTAGTAACCATTGACGTCCATGGAAAAACAAATACTGTGGATGTTAATGGTTACTGGTTTCTAACAATTTTCAAAATATCTTTTGTGTTCAGCAGAAACAAAGAAAGTCAAGGATTCAAGAGAAGGGTGAGAAAATGATCAGTTTTGGGTGAACTGACCCTTTAGAGTCCACATAAGAATGCAGTTTTTTGGATGGCTACTCTCAAAATAATTATTCTGCTGCTTGTTCAAACTACTTACATAAAATTAACTTAAACAACACAATTATTGAGGTATTATTTGGACAATTTATTTGTTTTATGTTCAATCGACTTAAATTTAAGTTACCTTAATCGATTTGTGTTGGAACAACCTGAATGAATTGTGTGGAAACCTGCATTTTTTATGAGTATGGTAAAAACTTTGATGCATTTAGTGAGTTCAAGAGCATCTGAAATAAGTAAATGAGTCAAATTACAATCATTTAGGTGTCATGATTATGCATACTTACAAACAGTTTGACAACTGAACATCAGGTATGGAGGTTTGACCTTATACGAGTTCTATCTGAGCGATCTCTTTATCCTGTAAAGTTGTTTTTTAATCATTGCAATTAATATTGAAAATGTTGCTCGAGCTTAAATGTTGCAAATTCATTGAGAGCATTAACTGATTTAATAGATTTACTCTTCCCTGTGTAAGAGAGAACAACTCTAATTGATAGATGTATGTAATTATGCATGCAACACTTCTGCTCTAATGGATTTTAGGGTAAAAATCAATTTAACATGGCGCAGGTAATTAATCTGAGCAAAACTAGTCTCTCCCTAATGCAGTACAAAATTTTGAAATAATTGCAGTAAATTAGACAAGCGGCTTTAAATTTATAGTGGACTGTTGCATGAATTTATGATGGGAGGCATAATCTGTGCAATTTGGATGATTTATTTAGACTTGGTGTATGTCTTATGTTAGCCGTTTTTGCAAACATCTAGTTATTCGGTCACACTTTATGATATTCATTAGTTACTTTATTTACTAACATAATCCAATAATGAACATTACTTGTAGAGCATTTATAAATCATAGATCAGCATTTACTAATGCAATATTAACATCCAAAATCATGCTTGTTAACATTAATGCACTGTCAGTTAACATGAACTAATGATGAATAACTGTATTTTCATTAACTAACATGAACAAATGCTGTAATAAATGTTTTGTATGTTGTTCGTTCATGTTAGCAAATTCATTAAGTAACATTAACTAATACAACCTAATTGTAATGTGTTATTCTCTGAATAAATACACTAATTAAATTATATGAATGACGCATTGAGATATTCTGATTGCTTTAAAAGAGTCAGAGTTGTCATTGGGAATATGAAAATAGTGATGATAAACATCTAAAAGAAAATATAAATCAAATACATCTAATTTATATAGATATATGGTATTCTCTTATACTGTTATTCTGTTATTCTCCTTAATGTAAGGCAAATAATTTTACAAAATTATTTAATATACAAATATTTAAAATTATTAAAAATTTAAATTGTTAAAAAAACAAACTTTTTGTCTCAGGATTAACAGCTGCAAAGGAAACAATCATTATTCCTGGTTCCATCCTAATATCCTGTCAATTCAGTATACTATTTTATAGACATTGTTTGGTTAGAACAGTTCACTGCCTTAATTAACAGAGCAAAAATTTGTTAAGATTGTTTAAATCTGGTGGTTCATACTGGCGCTTAAATCTCTGATTAAGATGCCTTAAGATATAGGTGACAACACTATACACACTTTCTGTTTGATCTGTTTTACAATAACTTTCTTAGGCACGTTTTTTCCATTTATGTACTTCTCTGAAATTATGTATATAGTTTTTTTCGACTTTTTTTTTTTTTAAACTTATTTACAGGTTTCTATATGCACATATATATATATATATATATATATATATATATATATATATATATATATATATATATTGTTATCAACCATGCTTTAGACATTGAACCAAGTCAATGTTAAGGATTTCTGCTATTACCGTTGTTGATAATCATGTTTGCTAAAAACACAATAAAGTTTGTCAAAAAATGTTTATTGATTACAAAATGTTAACTAATTAAGCTACTATTTGACTATAATTTTTATTTGCATTGCTGCACAACACATTGTGTATTTTATAAAATATAAATAAATAATTAACACACATTCGCATTGATCACAATCATTTTACCTGTCTTCTTACAATCGATGATATTTAATAAGCATAAATTGACTGTCACTAAAGAAACAGGAATATTAGTATAAATGAGTCGCACACTTGTTGCACTTCTGTTTGTCAGGCAGCAATTATAGACATAATCAAACTGAAAAAATATGCACAAAATGCTCTGTTAGTAATTAGAGGGAGTCTAAGAGGATGCATTGTATTAAATCTAGCTTAATTACAGCTACAAAATTTACTAGCCAAAATATATCACTCTTCCCTCTTGACTGACTTCAAAACCCAGTGCACACATTCGAGTTTCAGTCGTTAAAGCTTTTAATAGTATAGTACTGTCTAAAATGCGATCATTATATGCAATTACAAAATTTCTAAATATGCATTGTGCAGTGTAAGCATTTACTGTAAGAAGGGTCAAATTTTAAGAGGACTTATACATTTGTATTCTAATCTTACACAAACATTCTTCATTTAAAAAAATACATATATATATTTTTCGTTTACTTATTTTTAACTCATTTTAATAAAATGTATCATCATTTTTAAAACTAAACTGTAAAAGCATATCTACAAATACAGAAACTTAACAGAACTTTACAAGCAACAAAATAAAAAAGGTTCCTGCAACAACTGGGTTAATGTAGGTTAATTGGTAGCCATGAAGAGGAATAACAGGTAAAATCCATGAGTAATGGAAAAAAGACTGCTTAAAGAGCAGCACTAATTATTAAAACGTCACTGAGGGAATCAACACATTAATATTACCCCAATCACACTCCCATAAGAAAACAATGACTGTGTTGGCAACTGCTTTCATTTCTGCCAAGACAAATATTAACATTAAGAACCTAGCAATCTCAAAAACTCACAAAATAGTTGACCCACTAACCTAATAAAACACCTATAATCTAGACTGTAAATACAAAAGGCATCAGAATGACACCTTGTTTTACCTGCCGTCGGTGATAAGGGGTCTCTCTGTCACTTTCAGTCTTGAGGTGTGGTGGATATGTCCAATCTTCAGCTTCTGGGTTTGTTCAACTGCTTGCCTGCTCCCTTTCTCTCCCCTCTTATAACGACACACCCCTTCCAGTGGTTCAGCCTCCCCAGTGTCTGTGGATGGGGCTACACCAAGGCAGGGTATTACAGGGTATTACGCACAACCTGGACAGCCATACAACCCTTAGTCAATGCTGACGTACAAGACACAACCAACGTCACCTCTTTCTCCACCCCAGAAGATATGACTTGAACTAAAAATACGCTTTGTTTAATTCCCATATACCCATACTTCTTGTAAGGAACTCAAAATCCATTGGTTTCATCCAGTAACATATTTACTGTATACATCCAAACATAGTTCCTATCAATTAAGTAATGATCTGAAACTTGAATAAGGTGCCTTTAACAAGCTGAATGCAGGCCTGGGAGCGGCGCTCGCAAATTAAGCCCGAAATGCAATTTAGAGTTGAGCCGTGCATACAGAAGAAAAACAAAATCTCCCAGAGGCAAAGGGAAGTCTCGGTGGACGCTGACACTTCACATCCGCAACAAAGGGTTGTATATGAGGACAACACAAACTTGCCTGAAGGAAAGATGCTGAAAAGAGTTGACTTGTGCTACTAAGAATAAACTGAATTTTTTGTATAGCATTTAAGGTAATTGTATTTGATGTGTGTTCAAATTGTGGGTCATACCTCAGTCTTAAAACAGACTACATTGGTTCCTCCTCAACCTCACACCTCTTGGGAGTTTGAACTGGAAATTAAGTAGAAATGGCAGAAAGAGTTAGAGCATTTGGGGAAATTAAGTGTTCAAAATTTAATGTGATAATACCTTTTAAAAAATATGATCAAAAAACAAACAAGGCTTAATAAAATCAACATTCAAAATCTGTATAAACCAAATTTGCTTTTCCAGATCTAAATTACTGTTCTACATTACTGACATTTTCAAATTTACAATGTAATTGTGCATCCTGTTAGCTCATTTCAATTCGAATAAAAATGTTAATATTAAAACATGTTAACTGGTTACCAATAAGTTTACTAAACCAATTGTAATAGATCCAACACTGCATTTTATGTAGTTTTATAGTAAAATAAAACATAAACATCCCAGTATCCCCTACCTGAGATTTCACTTTGACGTTTTTCATTAAACAATATATTGCTGTTTCTTAGTTTTTGTGTGTATGTGTGTACCTGCAATAGTCACATTAGAAGATAAATATATTATTAAATATTATTATTTTTAAATTATTTAGACAATCCATAAAGCAATGTTTATTTATTTATTTTTGATTGTTGTTTATTAGAATTGACGCAGATGAAATGCATAGAATAAGACTTGATCATCCTGAACTAAGTTAATGAAATCTTTCCAAACAAGCACATTCATTTCATCTGGTGAAATTGAATTCATATCACAATATATTGCAGCAAAACAAAATATCACAATGTCATGTTTTTCCAACATAGTGCAGCCCAAGTTTAATGTCACATTTTATTTTTTAAATAATGTCTATTACATTATTTTACATTTTTTTGTGATTAGATCTTAACTTCTTTACAATGGTTATTACCAGTGTTGGGGCTGTTAAATAACCAAATCACTTAAAAAAAAGTCATAATATCTGAGTGAATAATATCTAATATCTTTTTTGATAATGTAATGCAGGTTCCTTTTTAGTTTAATTAATTAGCTTTTAAAAAATAAATTGCTAAATTAAAATGAATGCAGTCATAATGAATCACGCACTCAATAAGAGAATGTGCTCATTATTTTGAAAGCATCGAAGAAAAAGGAAAGGGGATTATCTCTATAGACGATGATATTACTTAAGACAAATAGTACAAATGTAGCAAACACATTGCTTAAAACTTTCAATAATCTGTATATACGACACATATAGCTCTGGGGTCAGGAAGTTCTCAGATAACATTATCTTAAAATATTTTTTATTTGTTTTTTTAAGGGAAATATTTGTGTTATACAGTGTGTTGTTAATTGCAGAGCTCCTCTATTTAAAAAAAAAAAAAAAAAACTAGTTCTAAAAGAGATCAAGCCTCAGCCGGGTCTGAAAAAGCATAATGTAACATAATGCATAACTAACTAACACATAGTTACTTTTTTGGGGAGTAACTCAATATTGTAATGCATTACTTTTAAAAAGTAACTTTCCCAAACACTGGTTTTTACAAATGTGCAAACGATAATTTAGTGCTTAATTAGATTTGTATATTAGCATTATCAGTTTATAATTTACAATAAAAACATCTTCTATTATCGTTACTTTTTAATTTACATATAATATTTTATGGTGCAGATCAGACAACCACAGCTGTTGTGAATTATTTACCATAAATTGCACAGATCTTTTTTTACTGTGTAGACCAGCACCAAACTAGCATAAATCAGCATGCACCTGGTCTTTCCAACAGACACGTTACTTACAATCTTAGTTAATTAATGTATTATAAGAATGCAAGTTATATAGAAAACACAGAGAACACGCACAAAAAATGCTTGAGCCAAAGCTTTCAGGAAAATTGAAATACTGTAACATTGTGTCCTAGCTGGTAATTACTTTGAATGACGCATAATAAATGTAAGTGGTTCAGCATTCGGAAAAGCCCGTTGGAAAAAGCCCAGTAGTTAATATAGGTCTGACAAAAAAGCACATTTTAATTAACAATAGCTTGCTTTGATCTCCCTAATCACGCCATTTCAGAGGCTGTTAAATAACATGGATTGGACGCAAAAATAAACACCAATCCTGATTTGTAATTAATCTCTAAATGTGCATAGTGATCATCTATATAAAAAACCATGTGTCCTGCATTTGTGCCTCAGAGGAAATGAACCAGTTATTAATCTGAGGCGTCCGATAGTCAAATCATAAACAACCAAAATAACCCATCACCTGAGTCCCGCTCACATAGATTTGCATACTGTTCAATATAGTAAGCCTGGAATTAGATATTATACAAAGACAAACAACAATGCGTCTTACCGCTACAGAGAAACCCATCAGATTCTGTGCCACATCATATTACAGCAGTGGCTGAATCACAGAATGAGCTGTGTGTGTGTTTTTACCACCTCTGAGTAAAATTGAAGTCAGTTCCACGCAAGATATGCAATTATATGAGAGGGCTTATTCACCTCCGTGACGCAGAATGATTGCGAGCCTCTCTGGTCAATGTTGTTTCATTCCCTTCATCATTCCATGGCAAAGTTTTATCGTTATATGAGGCAATGAAGAGCACTGAGGCATGCCCACATCCCTATGTTTTATGGGAAGCCCTTGGCAATAATTTTCAGTGATGACTATTAATACTAGAAGCTTAATTGATTTCACCAGAATAACCTAAAGACACGACTTAATGCAACAAAATAAGAGGAATACAAAGCCTGTGGGTAAAAGAGAGAGAGAGAGAGAGAGAGAGAGAGAGAGAGAGAGAGAGAGAGAGAGAGAGAGAGAGAGAAAGGGAGAGAAAAAAAATATTGAAGAAAGTTTTAATCAAGGCTATAGAAAATCAAGGAAAAGAGCCTTCTCACATTTTGTACATTTATTTGACTAAAATAAATAGAAAAACAATCTAGTTTTAATGAGACTCAGAAATCGAGTTGAAATGCATTTCAGGATGGCGACTGCAAGAGGAATAAGAAATTCTTCAGCCATTTTCATACTGCTATAGTTAGCTGAGAAGTCAAATAAAAAAAATAATTGGTTGAGTTTTTTCCCCCCTAGTATTATATGGGAGTGACAGCCTGTTCAGACAGTCAAGGGATGTTCTTGTGTTATCATGGAGGCTTCCTTATCTCTGTCTGACATTTAAGATAACTTTAGAAAAGCATTAAAGAGTCACCTGTGTCATTGGTTTTTTTATCACTTTTAAAAAGTTGAAAAGATTTTTGTGAGGGATTTTTAGTGCTTTTAATGCCAAAATGCTATAAAATAGCAGTTCAATCTCACATTTAAAGGCATAGTTCACCCAAAAATGAAAGTTTACTTACTATTTGCTCACCCTCAATCCTTTATGAGGTTCTTAATTCTGTATTTTGAAGAAAGCTGAAGAAGATATTTTGAAGAAAGCTGAAAACCTTAAACCATTGACTTCTATTGTATTTGTTTTTTCTGCACTGTAAAACCCAATAAGTTAAGGTAACTCAAACTGTTTGAGGAAACTGATTGCAACAAATCATTTAAGCTCAAAAGCTAAGCTTAATGAGAACTGTGAACTTAATCCATTTGAGTAAATAAAGCAGTTTGAGCAGAGTAAAACTCGATAAATAAAGAAAACTCAAACCAACTGAGGACTGTAAAACCCAATTAGTTAAGGTAACTTAAACTGTTTGAGGAAACTGATTGCTACAAACAATTTGAGTTAAAAACTAATCTGTACGGGTATTGTAAACTTACTCCATTTAAGTTGAAGTAATGAGGTATTTAATTAACTTAGCTTTAATACTGAGTTCAAATCTCTTTTCAAATTAGAAGGATTAACTTTCTGTAAATTTTGAGTTAACAAGACTTAATTTGATAAAGTTCACTGTTGGGTTTTACAGTGTAGTATGCATGTCAGTGGTTACAGGTTTTCAGCTTTCTTCAAAATATCTTATTTTGTTTTTATCAGAATAATGAACCTCATAAAGGTTTGTAACAAGTGCAGGGAGAGTAAATGATGACAACATTTTAGGATTTGGGTAAACTATCCCTTTAACGTTGAATAACTCTGCTGAAAAAAGCAGCTTAACCTAGGCTAAGCTGGTTGGCTGGTTTTAGTTGTTCAACCAGCCTGCATTTAGAGGGGTTTTGGCCATTTCCGGGTTGGTTTCAGTCATTTCCAGCCAGGTTTTAACAGGTCAAGCTTGACCAACGTGGTTTAAGCTAGACATGGCAGGTTTCGGCTGGGCTCAGAGCCTGGCTAAGCTGTTCAAGCTCGTTTTAGCTGGTCATCTGTCAGCCTGACCAGCTAAGACCAGCCTGGAAATGGCCAAAAACCCTTTAAAACCTGAACATAGCTTAAGCTGAACATAGCTGGTTTTGGCTGAGCTCCCAGCCTGGCTAGGCTGGTCAAGCTTGTTTTAGCTGGTCATATGCCTGCCTGATCAGCAACGACTAATGGCCAAATGACCAAAACCCCTCTAATATCAGGCTGGTCGAACAGTTAAAACCAGCATTTTTTTTTTCAACAGGGAATTCTTGATTATGACAAGATATATGGGGACACTGGTGTTAGTTTTTAATATATAGAAAACAAAGAAAGAAAAAAAGGAAGAAGCTTTGAACCAATAAAACAAGTAAAAGTAACACAAAACTATTGGACGTGATAATTTTTGCCCAGAGGAAATGAAATTGTTACAACATGTCCAGTGTGAGGTAAGTTTTCACAATGAAACATGCTATTAAACTGCATATTGTCAGGAAATGTATTGAACGTGTCTTATTTTGATCCAAAAATTCACAAAGTTTAACATTTAAAACAGATGTGATCTGATATTTATCCTACACTTGATTAGACAACACAACATAAACGGTTCAAACATTTAAAACGTGACGTGTACCTGATATGACTGATTGATTGCACAACTGAACTTTTACCTACCGTCATATTATAAATAGTTGCTACTTGTCTGAATTAGCGTTAGGTTTTATTAACCAAACAATAACAAAAATGATACAATTAGAAATTTATATAACGTTAAAAGTTTTGTTAGACATGAATAACGTTAGACTAACGTTACGCTTGTAACTCGAAGTTGCGTAGATTTCGTCGCAGTTGAGGAAATGTATCAAATCATAAAAGTATTAGAAAACAGACAAACTACATACTTTAACATTTAAAAAAACGCCTCTGTAAGATATTTATTAAAACGGCCATTACGGAAAAGAGTACTCAGCATTTCATTGGCCAGTTTTCGAATAGGCGATGATGTTCTCGTTTCTTATTGGTGAATGCGATCGACTGCGATTGCATTGACCAATAGAAACGCTGAACAGCACCCGACGCGCGAAGATCTGAAAAATACGGAAGTGTTATGACGGAAATGCTGTTTACGTTTGAGTTGTATTATGAGTGTGTTTAGATCGCACGCTATAAATACGCGTTAATATACATATAAGTGGACAAGAAAGCAAAGAAACTTTGACTGTGACTGCGATTTAATGGGTAAGTTTATTCATATTATTGATCAAATACAAAAAGCAGCAGAAGTGGAGAAGTCAAGTTGGGGGATACGTCTTTGTTGTCGAAGCCCATATATATATATATATATATATATATTAGTATTTTTAAAAAAGAAACAAGTATATATATATATATATATATATATATATATATATATATATATATATATATATATATATATTAGTATTTTTAAAAAAGAAACAAGTATATATATATATATATATATATATATATATATATATATATTAGTATTTTTAAAAAAGAAACAAGTATATATATATATATATATATATATATATATATATACACACACACATATATATATATATATATATATATATATATATATATATATATATAGTTCATAATTTTTTGCCATGTTTTAAAGTATTGCAGTCATTTACATACTAAAACTAAATCTATAAGGACAAAACCTGCAAATCCAATAAATAAATATATATAAAAATAGTGCATATAAAAATGCACTATTTATGCAAAAATGCATTATTTATTACTTATACATTTAGTTATGCATAAATAAGAGTGTGTAGATTTATAGATTTCTATATACATTTATTTATTTAATTGTATATTTATTTATAGTTTTCATTTATGCAGGAATTTGTATTCATTTATTTGCATATTTATTGTTTTTGCAGGTTTCGTTCTCCATATAAATTGTTCGATTACACTAAGTTATTATTAATTGTAATTTAAAATTGTATACACTGTATTTTAAAACACTATGTTTGGCTTATATGTCAGCAAAAATTGTAAATCATTTAAAATAAACTTTATTTATAAACTCTTATATATTATTTGAATACAGGTCAGAATAAAATGTAACCTTTTTAAATATGTATTTGTCACATTGAATTGTAAAGCAACAATATAGTATTGCACATAAGCATGGGACGATGCCGTTTTCTAAATATACTATGGTTTAGAAAAGTTAAGGTTTTAAAACTCCCACAATTTTCTGCTATAGTTTCCCTAAGATATGTGTAAGATGTTTTTATTTACGTTCTTTTATCTCTAGATATACGAAGAATATACGAAGCCATTTTAAATAGTAAACAAATCTGTGTTTTTGAAACTATCGACGACAGCAGAAGTCAATGCTTCATTTGAATACTTAAGCCTGGCATGTTTACTGCTCCAAAATATTATAAATGTTTCTCAAAATAAAATATTTTGTGTTCAAAGAAGAGAAAAAAAGTTTTATTTTTTACTCAGACATTTTACAAGAACATTTTAGAGCAGTAATCAAAATACCGTGATACACTGACTCAGAATCTTATACCAGCCCATGCTTAATTGCACCCATATTTAGTCATTTTATTTTTACAAAAGTATAGTAATATTTATAATATTATTATACTTTTGTATGATAAAGTATAATAATATTTATGTAAAATTATTTTTTACAAAAGGATTGAAATATTATATTAGACGCTTTACTTTCATTTAATATTTTTACTTTACTTTAATATGTTTCGAATTATGTGAAATCTTTTAATAAGTTTAATTTTATGCAGACACAAATATAGGACATAAATTATATATACATTTTATATATATATATATATATATATATATATATATATATATATATATATATATATATATATATATATATATATAATTTATGTCCTATATAAATATATTTTATATATATATACATTTTATATATATATATATATATATATATATATATATATACACACACACACACACACACACACACACACACACACACACACACACAAAGATAATTGAATAAAAGTAATTTTATAACACTTGGTTGGCATGCAATATCAGAACTATAAAATAAAAAAAAAACTAACCAGCAAATTCTCATGCAGTAAACAACAGATCCTGCTAGGATGGATGATATCTACACACTGCAGCAGGAAGTGGGCCGGGGAAGCTATGGAGTGGTCTTCAAGGGGCGCGTGACTGAGACTGGCTGGTGGGGTGCAAAGGGTGACACAGTAGCCATCAAACGCCTGCCATGCTGTAGTCCAGAGAGCATAGAGCTCTACCTGCAGGAACTATGGGCTATGAGAATCACAGCACGAAACCACCCCAATGTCATCGCTCTCTACAACTGCCTCTTACAGACCGGCCCTCGAACACTGCAGCCCCTCAGATCGAGCAGGCTGCCTTTGGATCTGGTGGAGAGTGCTCTCAAAGGGAGAGTTGTGGACAAAGACTCCAAAACCCAAACGAGGAATGCCTCCAGGTCAAAGAGGAGACTGATTTCTAAAGAGGAGGTTCCCAGGCGCTGCTTTGCGCTATGGTTGGTGATGGAGTACTGTGAGGGTGGAGATTTAGGCCAGTATATTCTGTCCAGGCCACCGGACGCTGAATGCAATAATACCGTGGTTCGGCAGATCTGCAGTGCCATTGCGTTCCTGCATGAGCATGGGATAGTGCACCGGGATCTAAAGCCAGATAATGTTCTCGTCTGTCTAACTAAAGAGGGACCAGTCATGAAGGTACAAATTGCATACGTTAGTATTTCACAGATTATGGTGTTACAAGCAGCTACTTCTAACAAACAGTAAAACCGGTTGCTCATGGCGTATTTGGAGTCAAGCTAAGTGCAATTGTCATGGGCTTGATTTGCATTTTCAAGCTTTCATGTTGCTTTTTGAAATAGCCCACTTCTTATGCAGCTTTTTTTTTCTTTTTGATATGTATGTATATTTTTTGTAGTCTTAAGGCATAGCTAATGTTCCACTTACAGTTGTGATTATATAGCAAAGCAATACAAAAGTTCTTTTGAGGTTGTATTTGCATGACAGACGTAGACAGATTTGGGTGGTGCCCTAAACTGAAGACGCTGTTCACAACTTAAAGTGCATAGGAATATTTTTTAAGATGGAAGGGGGAAGAGTAAATGACCATTTATGTTGTTATGCGTTTGGGTTATTGTCATTTGTATAGTAACAAAATGTGTCTGAACACTTTGATCTGTTTCTTGAATCATTACAAAGACAGTGTATGTCATTCCCACAGCAAAAAGGTTGGCAAGAGAATCAGCTTGCATATGTTTTCAAATAATAAGGGTTTTTAAACATTTGACTGCATTCAAAGACAGTCAGTGTAGTGTGCTTTGAAGCGACTGATTCATTGCACTATAAATGTGTAGTTTATTCCAGTCAAATATTGCCCATCCAATGCACAAATATGGATGGGAAGTTGCCTTGGGCTTATCTTGAATCGGAGTTATCTGCAGTTGTTAAAAATTTGTGCTTTTGTAGTTAACTTATCCCCAACAAGCATACTGAAGCTTTATTTTAGAGAAATTCTTACTGAATATTTTTAATAATATTAGACTGTATTTTTTTTCTAAGTGGAACCTACATATACTGAAACAAAAAATGATTTAAATTGTATAACGGGTTTTGTAGATGTAATTATATAAATATTCTATTTATAAATGCTGTATTAAAATATACATATTTTCTATTGCAGAGACAAAGAATGTTGCATAATGTCTTTGTAGACGTAATAGGGCTGGGCGATTTGACCTAAAACCAAAGTTTCATTTGATTGAACATTAAAGTCCATTATAATTGCTTAACGCTACTTTTATTTATTTATTTTTGCCTTTATAGTTTACAGACAAGTTTTGTACAGTAAATATGCTCAAATATTACGAGTGATTTTTGAATGAAGTTTAAGTTGAATTAATTAATTTGAATTGGTTTTAAAATAATTGAAGTAAACGCACACTATCTATTATCTATCAATATTTATTTAACATCAACGCTGAACTACTGAAATTAAAACATACATTGCCTAAAACACGGATGTCCAAGCCACCCACCCTCATCACCACTATCAAACTGACCAATCTCAAAGCTTGCACTACATGTCATTGTGACGTGCAGTTAAATTGTTTTTGAGAGGTGCGTGGACATGCGAAGGCTGCGCCCGATCGTACATGTGGCAGAAGTATAATATCAGATTAATATAATAAGTATAAATCAAAATATAATAAGTATAAATTAGCCGTAACAGATCAGGGTCACGTGACTCTACAAACAGTAGGAAAAGAGATTAAAAAGATTTACCCAGCCCTAGACATGATTATTTAACGCTCTAATAAACTGCTCTTTAATAAATAATTATAAATGAGGCTCAGTGGTTAACACTGTCACCTTACAGCAAGAATTTTCGGCTCAAATTTGGTACATTTCTAACATCATCACACTTTTAGATTCCCAATGTTTCTGCTGTGTGATTCGCTCTTAAATCAATAATGTATGATAGACTGAAAGTTCAGCTTGTTTAATTAGAAAAAAACATTTCACCCAAAGAAAACAAAATGTCCTAAGCATTTTACATAAAAAATCAGTCTACAGGCTTTCAATGACCAAAAATTTAACTTGTTTTTTAGGTTTCTTTATAAGATGTTCACAAATTGGGGGAAAAAAGCTATTAATACATGAACATTTTTTGACATTGGCTAGTTAAATGGATCATTCAACCAAATGTTAAAATTTACTCACTATTAAGTCACCCTAAAGTGTAAAGCAGGGGTGTCAAACTCAATTCCTGGAGGGCCGAAGCCCTGCACAGTTTAGTTCCAACCCTGCTCCAACACACTTACCTGTAGGTTTCAAACAAGCCTGAAGGACTCAATTAGTTTGATCAGGTGTGTTTAATTAGGGTTGGAACTAAACTGTGCAGAGCTGTGGCCCTTTTGGAACTGAGTTTGACACCTGTGGTGTAAAGGGTTCTTTTCTCCATAGAACGCAAAAGTAGATGAAGACTGTAACCACTGACTTCCATAGTAGGGAAATAAATACTGTAGAAGTTTACGGTTACAGGTTTCCAGCATCTTCTTTTGTGTTCAAAAGATGGAAGAAACTCGTAAAGGTTTGTAACAAGGATGAATAAATTATGACATATTCATTTTCAGGTGAACTATCCCTTTAAATTAAATGTGAAACCTGTATACAACAAGTCTGTTTCAAGTCCCACATCTAAAATGTGTATGTTAATTACCTCCTCATGTATTCCAGGTTGCAGACTTTGGCCTCAGTAAGATGGTGGACAATCCTACAGATGGTGTTCAGAGCAGACTGGCTCTGTCCTCTACATGCGGCTCAGACTTCTACATGGCTCCAGAAGTTTGGGCAGGCCGTAGTTATACAGCTCAGGCTGACATCTTCTCTCTGGGTGTGCTTTTCTGGGCTGTGCTGGAGAGAATCACTTTCTTAGAAGACGGCACCAATCAAGAACAGCTGGGTTAGTCGAGTCGAAAATACTTTGGCTCATTTAGCATCAGCCATTTAATGTTTTTAATGTCTTTGTTATTTAATCAATCTCGATCCGCGATGCATGCATTTTTATGATTAAAACAAAGTAGGAACTTGCATAGGCAGTTAAATGAGGTCTCATGATAGCGGATTAATATAAAACCCATCATACTGTGATTGTCACAGAAAAGGAACAGAAATAGGAATGGAAGAGAAAAGATTTCAGAGCCTCACATCCCTGGCACTGGCAGGCAGGTGGCTATTTTGGTTACCCCTCTCACTAGTTACCATCATACAGACCACTTTAGATTGGTGAGAAAGCTTTGTTGTTGAGTGCTTGACACAGCAGCCCATTAACTTAATGTGTAATAGCTGAGATAATGTAAAGTGGTCTGAGGACGCGAGGTTTGGATGGAGTGCATAAGCTATTCAGGCAGTCCTCAGTAATTACTGGAGCCCAGCGATTTGCTTAACTGAGAGCAGGCAAACTAAAAGGTCAAATGTTGTAGCTTATTTATATAAGGGCAATTAGCATCCTTCCACTTATTAACCTCTCTGTATGGTGTGTTCGTCTTAGAGTTTTGTGAATTAGAATGAATTTGTGCTAGGCATATTTCTTAAACCCAAAGAATACTTGGGATTGCACCCTAAATCCTTGCTGATTTTTTCCACACTTTGTCAGAGGCTTTCAAACACCTTCTGAAAGCTAAATTGGGACATGCACAGTTGGTAGTTACAAGAACTATCCCAAAAATGGAATTTACCCCTCTAATCAAAAGTCTGGTCGCAATCACAAAGTCAATAGAAAGCCAGCTGAATGCAACATCAAGTGTGCCATTCAATAAATATTTTGTGAATGCCACCAGGAAAAGGATTAAAGGTGCAGTAAGTTTGATACCTAGTGGTTAAACTAGGTATTGCACCCCTGGTTCAAAACACATGCAAGAGTAGGTTGTTAGATTGACAACATCAATAAAAGCTGGTTTAAATCGTGTTCTAAATAAAAGCAAAGGCACGTGATAGGAGTTTTTGTCCTAACCAACACCTGAAATTTATATTTTAGAAACTTTCTTTTTTTGCAGCTGAACAACAGGAAACTGACAATGCTCTCCTCAAGTACATGCTTTATTCAGTGTTAAACGCTAACAATTTGAGTTTGAATGCCATTTTACATGACATTTATTGCCATACTACTGAAAGCAGCAGCATAGAGTTCACCTCAGATCTTAAAAATAAAATAAACCGTTTGATATTAAACTTTATAGCTGTGATGATAATGATAAAGAGGTTTAATATGTATTAATTAGATTATAAACCTTACCGTTTCGTTGGAGTGCAGAGAGTGCATATATATTCTGTGCTTCTGAATGGCTAATAACCACCTCATGTGGAACTCTGAATCTGCGTCTCGTTTCAGTTACTGATGCACACTTTGAGAGCCTTCCTGACTGAATAAATGAAATATGCTGTTTTTCACCAAGGCAACCTGAAGTGTTGAAACATAATTGGCTAAAAGCAGAACATCTGACTTCAACATTATTTTTCAGATAAACAAGAATGTTCACTTTGCATCTTTCTTCAATGTCTGCAAACATATTATGGTATTTTGCTTTAGAAAAGTCAAAAACGTACATACAGCTCCTTTAAAGTGCAAGTTAGTTAAAGGGGAAGTAGTGGATAGTTCCTATTACTCTTCCTGTAAATATCTGGTGCAAAAGTCCCTTAAAGGGTTAGTTCTCCAAAAATGAAAATTATGCTATTAATTACTCCCTGTCATGTTATTCCAAACATCTGAAAATTTTGATAGTATTCATAACACAAATTAAGATATTTTAAATTAAATCCAAAATCACCCTCATTCTCCATAGACATCAGCAGTCCTGACTCGTTCAAATTCCAGAAAAACACCTAATAAACATCCACTAAACAATAAACATGTCTTCAGTTACAAGAATACTTTTGTGCGCACATAAAACAAAAATAGTTAATTCAACATTCTTTTCCTCCTCAGTGTCAGTATAGGGCGCACATTCATGGGAGTGTGTGATTATTGAATTAAGTCATTATTTTTGTTTTATGTACACACGAAAGTATTCTCGTAGCTTACTAATACTTAGGTCACCACAGCGGAATGAACCACCAACTTATCCAGCATGTTTTACGCAGCAGATGCCCTTCCAGCTGCAACCCATCACTGGGAAACATCCATACACTACAGACTATTTAGCTTACACAATTCACCTATAGTGCATGTCTTTGGACATGTGGGGGAAATCAGAACACCCAGAGGCAACCCACGCCAACACATGGAGAACATGCAAACTCCACACAGAAATGCTAACTGACCCAGCGATGTTCTTGCTGTGAGGTGATTGTGCTACCCACTGTGCCACCTTGACGCCCCCAGTATTCTCATAAAACCCCAAAATATACTTTGAAGAAATGAATTGACCTATTTTAGTCACAGCTTTTTAGTGTTGGACTATAAAGAAGAGGGCAAATTCAAATGCAGTATTCGGTAGATCAAAGGTAACAACAGTGAATGAAGGACCTGTTTCACCAAATGCTTGAAAATGAATTAAGCATAACATGTGTTTCCTGTTTATTGTGTGTAGGTGCATATGTGATGCGGGGCCGCTGGCTCTCCCCATTAGCAGAAGCACTGTGTGAGAATCCAGACCTGCAGCTGATCATCCCTATGAGGACTCGACGGGCTCCTCCACTGCCCCCTCCTCCAAACCCTTCCATGTGTGAGCTTCTGCTGGACATGCTGGATGTTGACCCAGACGCCCGGCCCACCGCGGACCAGCTGGAGGAGAGAGTCCAGTGTGCTTTAAAGCTGCACTGATCTAAACATCAGGCTAAACAAACAGACTATTACAATTTTTTTTTTCATTTTTGCTAAATTGTACACCACAAAACAGGGAGAAATCAACACAAGACCACTTAATGTACTGAAAAACTTGAAGATAAAGCAGAGGGAAGTTACTGAACAGAACAGCCTGGGTACTGTTCATTTGTTTGAAAACTGATATTTAAAAAGAGAAATATGTGTTGAAATATAATAAAAGGATGACATTTGCTAATATAGCTATGGGAATAAGAGAATGAACTGAGAATTTCCAATTGGTAATAGTTTGTCTATTAGTTTCTCTGAATTTACAATTTATATTTACGTGTTTGAGTAAAATGAAATGTTGGTTTTGTTCTACTAACTACTCATGATTTAATTTAAAAATAATTAATTTAGAACATTAAAAAAATGTATAAAATAACTTCAGACATTTATATTCATTTTTACAAAGTTAAGAAATCAGTGTTTGGAATAACATTTTATATACTGATTTTGTCCAATTGGCATTTTCAAGGGGGGAGATGGAATATAATATGGTTTTCTTATTTAAAACATGTTATTAGAACAAAAACTTGTTTACATTTTACTCAGACTTATATCCAGTAAATACATTTTCAAGTGGTCTCCTAATTTTGTCCATAGCTTTAGGTCTGAACAATTGCAAATGGTGATATGCATTTCACAGTGGCTTGTGACTGTGAAAAAGTTAGTGGAATATTTTAGATGTTGTTTGTTTTTAATGATAAAACTAATTTATAAAATGCCACAGTTAACACTGCTGTTTTCCTTTTACATAAACATGCTGGTTACATCATTTTAATTTGTAAATGTGAATTTAATTTTTTAAAGAATGATCAATATCACAGTTTTTTTTTTTTAAACAATGCAGGCTAATTAGTATATAACTTGTCTCGTATTTTCAATGATTTTTATGTATTTATAGAGTAGACTATTAAAGAACAATATAAAACAAGTTTAAACTTGCTTCAAAGCCTTCGTGTTTATAAAGATAGCCCGTCATAATCGGTGTCTGTGGTGTTGTCAGACAGGAGAAAGAGCATTCACAACGGTCACACCACAAATCGCCACCTTGAAGCGACAGTGTAATTATAGAAAGTCAAAATGACTGAAACCTTTGAAGTTTCACAGCTGGTGGCGCATTTTCAACATCTAGATCGGAAGGCCAAATCAGTCGGTTTCCCCCTAATGCGCATCTGTGAAAAATGGCACATGTATCAATCATCCAGATCGCCTGTTTTCCACCAGCCGGATCTGACGCTTTAGTGGCCAGCCTTGTATTTGGTTTTGCCCAAGGAAGGATAACTCAAATGGCTTTCTGGTTTAAGAAAGTGCTCCATCTTCTAAAGGAAATGAAAGTCTCCCTTTGTGATGGATATAAATGATATCTGGCTGAACCTGAAGTATTTGTGTTCAGCAGTTTTCAGAGTGAAAAGTGAAATTTTTTAAACAGATCTCCGTGATCAAGCAGTTAACTGCAGCGCTGAGTTGATGAAGGCCAATAATAATGTCAAAGTTGAATATTAATGGATTTCAAGATGGCTAAAGGTTTCAAAACATTACAGCCTCTCCGGCAATAATATAAAGCGTCTGTGAATCCTCCTAAGTGGATCTCATCTGTGACATTTCCATCTCAGGAGACACTTTGCCCTTTACCTCACGCTTGGCTGGTTTGCAAATGAAACGCTGCGATGGCTCATCTTGACCTCGATGGCCAAATATGCACATCATCTAAACACGGCACTCTGTCTTCCTCTCACTGAGGTCATCATCAGAATTAATCCTGCATTGGTAAGATTTTACTCACGGGCAACGATGGCCGTAATGAGCGAGGGAAATTAGCAACATTCAATCTGGAATTGTCGTTAAAACTTCTGGAGATTGAGTGAAAGCTGCTGATTGGTTTGCAAAACGACAGTGCCTCTGTTCATTGTCGTTATTGAGCCATAAACGTCACAACAAAGGTTCTGTGCCAGGAAATTATGAGCTCAATGATTGTTAAGTCATCACTTTATTGCGGGGGGGTAGCAAAACAACATCTTGCCATTTATTGGAAGCCATTTCAGTGATGACAAACCCCTTACAAGTGCGATCGGACTTGAGCTGGGCTTTAAAGGGTGGTCGGTCATCATTCGCCTGACACCTTGACTCACAGGCAGAGATAGCGATATAATCGGGTTTTGCGATGTCAAATGAAGCAGTAAAAACCCATCAGCAGTCATATCATGAGGTCTTCCACGGAGGAGAGCTCTCGCCATGCCGGACGGCGTTTCTCAGAAATTGGTGGTGTGGTGACAGGCACTAAACCTCGGCAGAGTAGTTCACTGAACTTTTCATTCTGTCAGAAATAGAAGCAATTGAATTTCAATCATTTTGGCGACAGTTTTTCATATCGGAGCCGGACAGGAGATCGCCGTGGATGATTTCTTACCCATTAATTCCGCTGAATGTTCGGTGATGGCTGTATTATGTCTATTCAACTCCATCCAAATTGCCTGCCTTGGTGCCAATCCGCGATTTATGACAATGTAGAATCAGGCGATAAGAGAAATCCTGGATAAATATCTTTTATTAACAACAATAAAAATGACCAAATGAACGTTTTTTCATGCAAAGCCAAGAAAACATAAAAATGCAATTAATCCAACTTCAGAATTAACCGGACAGGATAAACGATGGATTAGTCAAATGTGCCAAGCTGAAAGCATGAATAATTTCTTCCTTGCAAATCCACATGAAAAATGTGCTTCCATAACGGGATAACGGAGAGTCTATGCAGTCTCTTTTCTTCCATTATGCCCCATGTTGTCAATAGAAACCAAAAATAATGTGACCAAAAAAATGAGTGTTATCCCAAAGAATTACATGCATTGGCATGTATATAAGAGAAAACCTTGGTAAAATAATAGTGTACCTTTCTAACAAGCACTAATACTTGTACAGAATACACTCTTTGGCTGGCATGTAACGGAATAGTTGCCATTTGCTTTGTGCTGACCACACACACACTAGTCCCAAAGCCATGCCCAATTACAGGTGGGATGTAAAGATCCCCCTTAAAATCAGTGTCCTGCATGTCTGATGATATTCTCCAGGGAATATGACGCATCTTGGTTGGATTCCTCTTTGCTTCAGTAAAGGTTTTTCACCATATATGGCCCCTCCAGTTCATAACCCATTTTTCTGTAGTAATTCCTCGTTCCAACACCTGAAAAATACAGTAAATATTAGGGGTGTAACGGTTGATCCATGATTTGTACGGATTACAACCCATTGTCCTGAACACATGACCCGTGGATTAATACATTTTTTAACTGGTAGATTTATCCTAAATTTGTAACTAAATTTGTAAGTTGGCCTTTTGCGTCATTTAAATCACATGTATGAAAGCATTTAGGCCTTCCTGCTAAATATAATGATGACAAAAGAAGTTGTGGTGGGTTATTCAGGTTTTTGAGAAGGTGATGGTTATTCATTTGTGGGTTATTTAAGGTGTTTTCTGCCACTACTTGTTTAGCCTGCATTAATGTATTTAGTGTAAGGTGCATGATTATTCATTAAAAGATCGGGATCTCAACACCCATGCGACATAAATTATAAATGATGGTGATTTGCATATGTTTATTAATCTTTCGAACTGCTGCATTCATTTCTGTGTTTGAAAAATGCAAAAATCAGTTACACAGCAAGACTGGGATAACAGTTTATAGTTTCGATATAACCACTGATGTTTACGGTAAAGATTACAATCACCATCATATGCATTTAACTTGATGCTTAAAATGTAAGTTGTAGGCAGCAATTACATCATAGAACCAGTAGGTGGCGACAATCAGCCATCAAAAATATGCCACTGAATAATTCTTCAAAAACGACACATCTAACAATGAAACATGAAGTTTTTTGAGTGAAAAACTGAATCATTTATTGAAGATGAGACTAAAAATAAATATGGGTTGTACAAATTATAATGTCAGATTTCTACATTTAGCGTTATTATCAGCAACAGTAGTAACAGTGAATTTGTCACAGTATTGAATATTTTACAATTTATTTTTATTTAGCTGATCATTTCTTCTTTTTATCTGTAATATTTTTATATGTTTTTGTTATAAATGGAAAGGAAATAACATTTGTCTCCCCTTTTCTGCTGATCATAAAAACGGTTCAGTTCGTGACTGAAAAATCATAATGATGATATGAACCGTGAGATTTGTGATCTGTTACACCACTAGTACATATAACCCCAAACTCTGAATAATAACATAAAAGAAGGTTTGAGTGGATCCATATTTTCAGCCATTTTTCAATAAAGTTTTTTAATATTTTAAGCATGAAATATAATAATAAATCAAATTCTCAATACCAGATACTTAATGCGGTCTTAGCCTTTTACAACCTATTGTATTTTCTTGTATGCTCTACTGTTGTTGATTTGCTTGGTTTGATGGACGCGAGTAGAAAGGTGTCATATCTTCTCTCTAACATCCCTGAGCTGGAGTAATATGAATGCAGATTTTCATTTATTCTCCAATTGCCGTTATCTCCTTCCTACAGCTAATTTGGGGAGGTGCAGGTGAAAATTTCATATTCATTCTTTTCAAGCGAGTGCAAGAGAGGAACCAACAAAATGAATACGCCATTTCCGTTAAGGCCGGGAATATTTTTGATACCTGAGATAACAGCCAATTTGCTGGAGCCGTGCTCATCTCTGGCTATCCTCTCGGCCTCCTCCATCAACATCATTCCAAAACCCTGGAAATGCACAAGAGGAGAAAGAGAACATGAGAATGCTGGACAGCAAGACTATACATGAAATGATAAAAGACAGAAAAATACTCTAATACTCTGGATATTTTACCCAATTATCTGTATCTCCATGGAAAATACATAGAAAACAAGCCATGAAACATAGGCAATTTACACAGTATCTCCTCCTTTTTATATTTTGTGGCATTTTTTTCTGTGGTGGAGACTAAACATAACTATTCTTATTAAGAATTGTCAAAAAATAAGTCAGAATCACAAAATATTAACTTTTTTGAGGAGAAACGTCAGAATTATTAGTCACACTCAACGGCCACTTTATTAGGCACACCTGTCCAACTGCTAGTTAAAGCTAAATTCTAATCAGCCAATCATATATGGCTGCAACTCAATGCATTTAGGCATGTGGACATGGTCAAGACGATCTGCTGCAGTTCAACAGTAACTCAAATAACCACTCGTTACAACCGAGGTATGCAGAAGACCATCTCTGAATGAACAACACGTCCAACCTCAAGGCGGATGGGCTACAGCAGCAGAAGACCACGACGGGTGCCACCCCTGTCAGCTAAGAACAGGAAACTGAGGCTACAATTCACACAGACTCACCAAAATTGGACAATAGAAAATTGAAACGTTGCCTGGTCTGACGAGTCTCGATTTCTGCTGTAACATTCGGATGGTAGAGTCAGAATTTGCCATCAACAACATGAATGCATGGATCCATCCTGCCTTGTATCAACGGTTCAGGCTGGTGACGTTGTAATTGTGTGTGGGACATTTTCTTGGCACATTTTGGGCCCATTGGTACCAATTGAGCATCAAGTCAACATCATAGCCTACCTGAGTATTGTTGCTGACCATGTCCATTCCTTTATGTCCAGAGTGAACCCTCTTCCATCTTCTGATGCCTAATTCCAGCAGGATAATGCGCCATATCATAAGTCGTGAATCCTCTCAAACTGGCTTCTTAAACATGATAGTGAGTTCACTGTACTCAAATGGTCTCCACAGTCACCAGATCTCAATCCAATAGAGCACTTTCAGGATGTGGTGAAACGGGAGATTTGCATCATGGATGTGCAGCCGACAAATGTGTAGCAACTGCGTGAGGCTATCATTCAATATGGACCAAAATCTCTGAGGAATATACCCAGTATCTTGTAGAATCTATGCCCCGAAGGATTAAGGCAGTCCTGAAGGCAAAAGAGGGCCCAACCCGGTACTAGTAAGGTTTATCTAATAAAGTGGCCGGCGAGTGTATAAGACTAGAGCTATAAAACCAAAATTTAGAGTTAAAAAGTGAAAACTGCTAAATACATACTAAATAATTCTGAGAATAGTCAGAAATGTGAAATGTAAAGTCTGACTTCTGAGGTAAAAATATCCCAATTGAACTTTTAACAATCTTATCAGAAAACAAAATGAATTTAAATATATAAACTCAGAAATCTGAGTAAAAGTCAAAACTTTTAGTTGTAAACAGAATTCTAAAGTAGAAATGTGAGATGTAAATGCAAATGGAATTCTGAAGAAAAAGTACACACTGAAAAATTTAATCAGTATTTTGAGAAATAAAAGTGACTAATTTGTAAACTCAATCTTATAAAAAAAAATCAGAACTGTAAAGCAGAGTTGAGATGAAATAATTTTTTTATTCTCTGGTTAGAGAATAAAAAAAGAGAAGAGCTTCCACACTCTCCATGTGTTACCAGTGGAACCAAGATTTTTTTATTACCTGATGCTGGAACTTGCTGGGATCTCGGCTGCTGACAGGAACCACACTTCCGTAGACATGCAGCTCCCGAACTATGGATACACCACCCTTCAACTCAGGCCGGAAGGACTGCGGAGAGCATCGGCGGAGACGCAGGAGACCAATTAAAATATCCTGCTCGGGGTCCTCATAAGACAGAAAGGTCTCCCAGCCTCCATTAGCCACATAGTCTCTGCGGATCAGCTCGACCTACGAGAAGCACAGAAACTCTTTTCGTCTTTCACTGTACCCTGTTTAACAGCAAGACCCTCCTGATCACTGATGCCGAACATGAGCTACCTGATATGGTCGAACTTTGTGATGAATCTCTTGGATGCCCACTTCTCTGGTTCTTACATCTCTACACTGTAGGAGTCAACAACATGGCATTGTCATTAACTTAATTCATACAGAAAATAAAATGAGTGATGATCTTTCTCATTAACACTCTATGTTAATGAAGACACTGTGCAATTCTGAGTGTGCTTGACAAACCATTTGTAGGTGGCACTCTCTCCTCTCCATACAAACAGACACTAACACTCCAGGTTTATGAAAACATTGTGCAATTCTGAGTGTGCTTCACACAGGTGAGTGGGCTTGGCAAACCACCTGTAGGTGACACTCTCTCCAGTCCCATAGACACTTTCTTATCAGTACTGCAGCTCTGCACATGTTTGGCCAGATAAAAAATGGTCATGCTCAAATGAGCCTGGTTTCTCTCTAGAATTTTATTCTTTCACTTTCGTCAATTGGTAAAGTTTTTTCTTCGCCACTGGCTTGCTTGGGACTTTGTCACCTTGGAATAATAAGGTTCTATCTGCGTTCTGAATGATTTTGAGATATTGAGGTTCAAAGTTTGCTTCAGTATGTGTGTAACATTTGGGTTTTTGTAAAATGTAAACAACATATAAAAGACATCCCTTTAAGTTGTCATTTAACAAGAATACATGTCAATAACTCAATTTTGACAAAAATGTCAGATAGAACCTCATAATTCTAAGGTGACGATTGTGGAGCTGCACATTAATGGATTTGCTCTTCAGTGTTTGGACTTTCAGCAGTCAAATTTCAACTAAACAGAACTTAATCTCTGAAAACTGAACTGAGGCAGTTTCAATTTACTAGAACTTCTATGTTAAGCTGCACAATCTACATTGTACAAGTGCAATAGAAACAAAGATGAATTGAACACTAAAAAAGTTATAAAAAATAAGACTTGTCACAGCATTTTAATACCTATAATCCCTGATAATTTGAAGTGCTTCTTTTATTCTCACTTGGAAGTCCCTTTGGATAAAATGAGTAACTATAAACTGAATGTTACCTCAGTGCCCATGTCCTTCATTCTGGCCAGTGCCAGTTCTCTCAGATTGCCATGTTCCACTCCAGAGCTCACCAGTGGCATTGGGATATCCCTGAAAGATTGATCAGAAGATCAGATTGTAAGCCTTTCAACACTGTTAAACGAGCAAATTTGTTTAACCTCTAAGTCAAGTGCTATTTTGGGGTTTCTGCCTGGATTTTGCCTACCCAAATTTAAAAGCTTTCCAAATCAATACGCAAAGGTGAAAAAAGTAAAGGTTTGGTATCATTTTAAAGAAAACCCTTTGCATTTTCAAAAACACTGTTGAAAATGATTAAAATAATTGTGTATATTGTCTGTTTTATAATACTGTAAACCCCTCCAAAAAAAGAGGTGCTTTTTTTGTAAGCTCAAATTTGAAAGCGTACCTTTTTAGGTTCTGTGTGGTCTAGATTGCTGTAATTAATTTTGTTGGTTCCTGCACATGTCAGTAATCATAGGAAAAAACCAAAATGTCTCAATCATAATCTATGCAAAAGTTTTTCTATTCCAACTGATGAGAAAACGGAACCACTTATAGAAGTATTGGGCCAGTACGGACCTTTAAAATTTAAAGAATGCAGAAGTAAATGATGTCATGGACCCAGTACCGGGTCCCAGAGTTTAGGACATGGGTGCCCAAAATCGGTCCTGGAGGGCCGGTGTTTTGCATATTTTAGTTCCAACCCCAATTAAAACTAACAAATGAAGGAATCACATTAAAATTTTGTCTGGCTACATCACTTCAACACTACATTCATTCCTTAAAGTTCATGATGTCAAAGTCAGTGGGCAAAGAATGGGACAGTGTTTTGTGGCTGATTGAACACTCTCTATTACCTGAGCATCTATACTGTGAAATCAATAAAGTCAGTTGTGTTTTTGACTACCTCTGAAAGTGGACAAGTTCAAAACACTTCAGAGCCCATTTCAGGTCCACTTGAGATTGGATCAAGAAAAACGTAGGTCTAAACTCATCTGTGAGCATACAATGAGAGGTTGTATGTGCAGTAACAGCATCATTACATTCATCTTACCTCTGTACACGATACACACGAGTCCATGGTGGAACCAGCGCTAGTATTCTTGCTACCAAGTCCACCAAGGCACTGGGAGAGTAGCTCTTATAACGGCCTGTTTTCCACAGCTCATACAGTCCAGTGCCTCGTATCACCAGTGTAGGGTAAAGCTTGAGCCCGTCTGGCCTGAAGGCAGGGTTCTCAAAAAACTCCTGCAGACAGAGACAAATGACGTTTGAAAAAGCAGCGCAAACATGAGACTTAGAGCCAACTATGACCGATAATGATTATATTATTTTCTTATCCACATTCAACACTAAATTTGTAGGCAACACTAGGGCTGAGCAAGTAATTGAAAGGTAATCAAAGTCGACTTTCAGAACCTATAATCGAATTCTTCTAGGACGATTTTTTCAATTACTTTCCCTACCGTGTGTGGAATCACGTGAGCCTACTCTGTTAAAAGACTGTGGCTAATTTCCACTTCTGCCGCCACTTTGCAGTCACATCTGATCTCTGGTCAAGTAGGACGATGGACTCATTCTTAAGCCTTACTTTGCACTACATTGACGATGATTGAAAGCTGAGCCAGAGATGCCTTGAGACGACATATTAAAACTTGTCAGTGAACTATGAAGGAAAAAAATATTAAATAAAAAAATAAAATAATCGTTCATTAATCGTAATCAAGATTTTGATTTTAGGACAAATTGCCCAGCCCTAGGCAACACTGCCTAAACCAAGACCACAGTAGTGTGTTGATATCAAGACATTGCCAAAGATATTACTTCATAACTGATTACTTCAAAACTGGTGATTGTTTAAAAACTAGAAAGAGAAATGCCAACAGTTTTGATCTAAATTTGTTTAGAACTATTTTCAATGATAAAAGAGGATAATGGTTTATAAAATAGGCCTAAAATGTAAATGTTCTTAAATATCAACATCTTTTTTATTGTACATCTGTATAAAATCAATATCATGGTTGCAATCATTGCAATTTGGAAAAAACAAACAACAACAAAACAAAACATTTAAGTATGCTGCTTAATAATGCTTTAATAAAATCTTTCAAGGGCACCTATGATGAAAGTCATCTTTAGTCAGCTGTTTGGACAGAACTGTGTGTAGGTATAGTGTGACCACAGTCATATTGGAGTGATATAAACACAATAAGTTTCTTTTTTAAAATTTCCTGACGTTAAAATAAGATCCAAATCCCAGTGATTTTGAGGCCCACCTCAACATGACGTAGGAGTGCGGTTTTCCCCACTGAATTGATTCACAGGTGCCATGTCTCCATTATTACATGTATACACATGTCCACAGAACATTTTTTTGCAAAGAACCTGGGATTAAAACATATTTTACAAGTCTCTGTGATCACCCGCAAGTTTATAACATTTTTGAAACAGTGCATGTTTGTAATAAAGAGTAAAATCGGTTTGCAATTCTTAACCGCTATAATTACTACAGCCACATGATGACAGTAAACGTGCGTTTGTTTGTGTGGGTGTATACTGCAACGGCATTTGTGTGAGACTCATCATTTCAGAAAGGCTTGAATAAACTCCACCGCGAATGCATTAAATAAACTTACTTGGTATTCTTGACCTTATTTCAGTCTCCGCGTCTGTCTTAATCACTGACGGCTGTTTATCTAATGCGACACAGGAAAAGCAGACACACACGTCAAAGCGGTGGGCAGGGAGATGAAGCTCATTTGAATTTAAAGCCATGGGCTACAAAAACAGCTATATTGTGATCAGACACCAAAATGGGCAGATTTTGGAGGCTATAAGAAATGATGGGTATTTTGAGCTGAAACTTTACAGACACATTCTAAAAAGTAAAAGCAGTAAAATAAGTGCCCTTTAACGGTGCATTTTGTTAAATAAGATTTTTAAAGTTGCAGGAATCGGTATAAATTTTGGTGACAATTTTGACAAAATGTCAATTTTTTTAAGCTAGCACAACAGTACCAAGTTAAATTAGAAGAAATGTATTGATCACATATACTGTAGTACACAATGTATTGATCACATACTGTAGTACAAAAGGTAGCTGGGGCTCATTGTATGCTGTAAGTTTTGGGTCCACTTTATTTTGATTTTCCATTTGTTAAATTTAAGTTACAATTCATCTACATGCCAACTAATTCTCTTTAGATTACAGACAGACTGTTAGTTTGGGGTTAGTGCAAGTTGACATGTACTTGAAAAGTTGTCTGTTGAAGGAGCAGTATCAACAGATATTGAGCAGACAGTCTACTAATTCTCAAATGGACCACCAAAATAAAGTGTTACCAATGATTTTGTATTAAAACATGTTATGAAATGTCTGCTGATCCATTTCACCTCAAATAAACCTAACGAATCAAATGTAATTGTAAAACGGCCCCATTCATGAATTCACTTGACAAGCTGCTATTTAAAGATTCCAGCTTGCGTCTTCCAAGTAATGTGTAATTGTGCAGAAACTTATTTTACCCTTGTCACTCTGAAAAACCTCAGGGGTCACAGAGCACATTCAGAAACAAAACCATTACAATCAAAGAGACAATCCCAGTGGTCATTTAATTGGCACTGTCCAACTTCCTGACACCCAAGTGAATCATCAGATCGGACACTAGTGTATTCAACCAAAGATCGCATAAGTACAAACCGAACAGTGGCTCTAAATAGTGCAAACAAACATAAATAGTTGCCTTTCAAATGCAAACCGAAATCACGGATTACGAGTCACGACTAGAGCTCCTCCGTACTCTAAGTGAGTGTTTGTGTGATATATTTACGCTGAGTGTTATTTTTTGTGTAGGGAGTGGAGTCTGCACACAGTCTGATAAGTGAGAGGGGAGTCGGATGAGTCAGTAATGGGATTCATTATCAGAGAGCTACGCTTTTTTCCTCCGCATACTCGTCCTGAGATAGCAGCGACAGGTCCCTTCTCCAAAGGTGGAGGGAGGCGTGAGGGAGAGCAAGTGGGCCGATGTGGAAGTGGGAGGGGAAGAGGAGAACACGAGCACTTGGGAAAGCAGGTTAGGGGAGATAAAGCAGGCGAGCGCTGCCGGTGGGTGACACAGGTGAGGTTGTGTGGGCATGTGGTGGTGCAGGAGGAGAGCTGATAGCGCCGGGGTCAGAGACCACCTTCCAGAGCCATTAATCTCCCTCTCTCTCGCTCTGACACACACACACATACACACTCCTTATGGCTTTCTATCATGGAGATATCGCAACAGGTGTGGAGAGAGATGAATTATTAAACACTCACACTTTTGTATGAATAATATGCTGAAGGTATTAAAGTAGTAAGGCAATGAGCCGATTATCTTCAAAAAGAAAACTGTACAAAGTGACTATTTCAAGAATAAGCATGAAGCAAACACGGTCAGGAAGGAGAAAAATGGTAGGCGCTTTATGCTGACAAATACCCATTTTCAGTTTGCTGAGATGTGGTCATGATTATATATACTGTATTAGGTATATTATATATACAGTACGGGGGAGGGGGAGTCAACCGTTTCGGTAGTAGTTTGGTAATACATGCTTCAGTAAATCAACTTTATGAATGCATTTAAATTAGATCAAATTATTAATCAAATTTATATTTATATTACACAATTCTAATTATTATTATTTAAGAAAGCTGATATTAAAGAATGATATTTCTTACTATGAAGAGTAAGAAATATCCCCCCCATACATCTTGTTTTGATGTCCTAATTAGTGGGGGGTCAATCCGCCAGCAAACACCCCAACCCCAATATTAATTCACACCCTGATTTTAAATTTATTTGTCATTAGAATTTATATTTTTGTGTGCATCATATATCAGTTATTTGCCTAAATTATAATAACTCATAATTTTAGCTAGTATTTTAATATCAATTGATTATTGAGTAACATAGCAATAATAAATAATAATATTATCTGTATCAGACAGATTTTACTGCTAGATTTAAGTCTTAGTTTTCACTATTTCTTAGTTAATGACCACAACATGACAATTAATTGTCTCCCATCACTGACAACAGATTTTTTATCAGTTAACAAGATTAATGTGAACTGTTACACTGTTAACAATTTCCTGTAGAATCTACAGTATTTTACTGGCAGCAGTTAGCTGCTAATTTACTTTAAATCAATTACAGCAAAAAAACTGTATTCACATTTACAGCACCATTTATCTGGCTCTATATGTTTTTACAGTATGTTACTTTGCTGTAAAATGTACAGCAGTTTTCACAATGCAACTTTAAAATAGAGTAACATACAGCATAACTGTCGAATACAGTTCATATTACAGTTAAATACTGTGTAATATACAAAAATAAAGGTAAATATCGGATAACAACTAACTTGGTTAAATTAATGATGAAAATATTGAGCTTTTCTCTGTATCAATCAGATTACAACATCAGTTATCTAGTTGGTAACGACTAATGTAATCAGAATAAAATCACTGTGAGCGAGAATTTTAATACTGACTTTTTAAATACCACTGAAAATAACAATTATTGGTATCAGCCACAATTTTAATGTCAGTAATTTATGAGTTAACACTATAAAATTGATCAACCATACAGCCAAAAAACAATATTTGGCTATGTCTGATTCTAAAAGAAACTTTGATAAACTTTAATAAAATGGATTGTTTGTACTATTAGCCTCTAATTGCAATGATAATTTGTAGAAACGCAGCTTAAAAAGGGTGTTGCTGTCCAAATATTTGGGAGCCATCAGTAGATTGTAGCAGTGTGGGAGGCGAGTAAGAGCCTCCCAAGGGGAAATGAGGTAGGTGTAAAGTGGCCTTGTTACACCAATGCAAAAACTAAAGTGAAGACTTTTTGCTTCAGAGACACATGCCTTCAGAGACTGGATGACTGCAATAAAAAGTTAATGGCTCTCTTCTACAGTTAAGTGGCATTTATGTGACCGTTAGCGGAAAATATTATTTATATAATTGTACTCATTGAATCACGCTGTTTCTTATGCAACATTAACGTCACTCGCTTCATTCTGGTCTCTTTTGTCCTCCTAATGGGAAATAATCACCAGCTTTAAAATAGCTAAACTCTTGAGATTGTGCACCGACAGCCTTCGCTTAAAAAAACATCAAAGAAACCTGTTGGCACCTGAATTTTGCTCCCGGTTGGTGTTTAATACAGTCTTTCAGAGAGAAGCACTTTGAATGGCTTCCAAAGCAGGGTTGC